CCATTGTGCAACTCTATCCAAGACCTTGTGCAGATATTTATGTAATATCTCTGCTCCCTCTCCCCTCAGCTTGGCAGAAGTTTAAGGAAATACTTTGCGGAGGCCCCTGCAAAGTCAGTATTCTAAACTGTGAATGGTGCTGATGGAAAAAGCTGAAATGCCTTTTTGAACATGAATTGGACTATATGTGGGGTATGTCAGAGAAATTTTTACAAATCATTCTAAAAAATATTGACAAAAATTTATAGTTATTATATACACTAAACATTTTATTTGTGCCAGAGATTTTTTTTTTTTTGGTAAATTGTGATCTTGACCCATTTCTTTGAGGACTATCTCAGTATGCATTCGGACTCTAGTGGTGGAAAAAAGGATCCACGGAATAAAGTGAATACTAAATGATATTTTATAAGTGACTTTAAATGACTTTGGGAAATTGTCCACACGGCTAGATTAACTCCTTGCTGATAAATACGGAGGAGAAATACAATTAGTGGGCAGAATTACAATAATGGTATTCCAAAAGAGATGTAGTGTTAAAAATGACACTTAAAAATTTTTATGAGTATAATTTTCATAATTAAACCAGTGTGAAATTAGCATGCTGGAGTGTAGTGGACATTTAAAGAACATACAGCAGGTGTGATAATGTAGTGGAATAAGAAACTATGATGTTTTATTACAGAACTTTAAGTATGTGGAGGGGAGGTGTCAGAAGGCCTGGATTCTAATTGTGCTCTGATCTTGTTTTGTTTTGCTTTTTAACTAGCTTTCTGACTATGGCTAAGTCTCCTCATCAGAAAGAAATGGAGATGGTAATATTTGTCCTTCTTGCCTCACATTTATTACAATGATAAAGTAAGAGAACACATAGAAAATTGCCTTGAAGACTGTCAAATACTGCAGAAGCAAGAGATAGATTATCATCATATTCTCAACCATCCCTCAGTAATAGGATACCATTTTCACGTCAGTGCTAATGTAGGACTCCCACTGGGAAGAGAATTATCAAAAGAAATGCCGCTGCCTCCACTCTGAAGGGAGCCCTCTGAGCACTAAGACAGGGCCATGCGCCCTGGCTAAGCACCACCCACTGCTCCCCACGCTCACAGGGAGGGCTTCGCTCTGTGAACCACCCTCCACCTGCGTGTCTCCCACACGTTACTGATAAAAGCTCTTCTCAGACCTCCGGGATCAGCATACACCTTTGGAGAAAAGAGAAACTGCAAATCGCCAATGCTGCCTGTCCTTCCCCCTGAACGCAGCTGTACGGCACTTACTGCTTCTCTACTCAGCTCACCCTTCCTGCAAAATACATTATATTTAAAATGTGTTCAGTAAATTGTTACCTAGGAGAGATTTTAGCTCTGGGAGCAGGAGGGGAGACCTTAAAAATGTTAATTATCTGGAGCATAGAGCTTAACATTCTGGACTCCAAGATGGTTTTTAAGCCTATTTAGATTTTCTCCGAATTCTTCAAGGCTAATGCAACTTCTGAATGTATCTAGTATCTAATTATATGTGGAAGTGGGAGATGTGAGAAGACCAGATTAAATCCATAGATAATCCCAAAATCTCATTTCAGCCAACAGCTCGGCTCTTTTCCCACCAAGCCCAGCATCAGAAGGACCATTAAGAAGAGCAAGGCTGCGTGGAGTTCCAAGCTCCCTGTTCTCCCATCTACCCTCTGTTGGGGATGTTAATGAACCAGCCGAACAGCCAGGAAAAAAGAGCCAGCAGAAAGGAAAGTGGAAAATCAGGGTCCTGGACCACTGCCAAGCCAGAAAAGCAGACACTGAGGAACTAGAAGGCACCAGGGCCCTGCCCTAGAGGAGCAACTCACCAGCCAGCCCTGGCAGTCCTGGGCTACAGGTTCCAGGAGCAGGACCTTTCTACTTTACAGAGATGCCACACTCAGATCATTGCCCTCTGCCCAGTTTGACCGTCTGTGTGTTCACCCAAGATGAACAAGCCAAACTGTAATCAGGCCATTCCTCTCCCAGTTCAGAGCACCAAGGGGGTAGACTGAGCCAAGTGCTCTCCTCAGCTGAACACAATTTACTCACAGGATGAGGAGAGGAAGAGGAAGAGGAAGATTTTGTTTTTAGGACTACTTTGCAAATCCCACTGGCCTTCACCTTGGTGTTTCCCTTCTTGGTGCTTTTTATTTTTTCTAACTCGATGGTTTATTAACATCAGAGCAGTAGCGTTTCACTTTCGAATCCAGGTCTACTTTTCATGAACGTAAAATTTTTACACATGCCTTAAGGATATTTGACATTTCAAAATAAATATCATCCGTGACACAAATCAACGCAAGTCATTTTAGAATAAAGTTTTTAAAAAAAGAATATTTTATTAAACAATGTAATGCCAACTCAGTACCTTCAAAGATGCCATTTGACGTTAGATGGACTTACTGCACCCCCTCCTTCCTTTCTGGGGCCACTTCCGTTTATGTCGGAGCTCTCTGGACTAGAACTTTCGGCTAGCTTTGGCTTAAACGCGTCAGGAATAAATTTAAAAGCGGGAAGAAAAAGAAATGGGGACGATCTGATGAAGGGAGCCGGGCTTACAAGAACTTCTTGGGGGAGTAATGAAAATGTGCTAAAGTTTGTACTAGGAGATAAAAGAGCTGCCGTGGAGGGGCCACGGTCGGAGAACACAGGAAAAGAAATGGTGTTCATCCAATTCGATATAAAAAGTGGGCTACTGAATTTAAACTTCGTGTACCACAGAGCTCAGGAGTAGCAGAACTGATTTATGGTCTAAATTATGTCCTTTAGGTTCACGACACCTCCAGGCCTCTGTATCTGCAAAACGGGGGGCAATACCGGGTCTCCAGGTGCTGGGAGGGCCAGGTGAATCGGAGGACAGAAGGCATGCGGGGAGCAGCGGGCCACCTTCCTTCCCAGGGCGGCCTCCCTCTGGAAAGCTGCGGAGATGGTGCCCAAGCTCTCGGGGCGGCGGGGCTCCTCTGCGGTCACAGCGCCCTCGATCCCGAGCGTCCAGCGCGCAGGCTCCGGCAGCGGCGGAGGGCGCGGCCACGTCCAGGGCTCCCGCCCGGAGCTTGCGCTGTGCCCCGCCAGCCCCGCGCTCCGGGCGTGCCCGGCTCTTCGGCGGGTCAGTGTCCTCGGTCCCGCTGTCCTGCCCCCCTGCGGCCGTCGCAGGGAGGGCAGCGCGGCCGCTCCCCCGCCCCGGGCCAGCCGGGGTCGCCGCCGCCGCCACCTTGACGGTGGGCACCTGGGTCGCTCGTGGGTGCGCTGCGCTTAGGAGGGGCGGGAAAGGCTGCGCGCCGAAGAGGACCGAGGTGATCCCCTCCGAACCGAGGCCCTCTGGGATCTTCGAGAAGGTTCAGGTTACCGTCCCCCCACGCCCCCTCGGTCCAGAACAATGAAGGCAAGCGGGGGAAACCCTTTCCCAGCGCCCAGGCTGGCCGCCTTGTTGACGATAACTTGATTATCGCGGGAGGGCGGTGGTCTGCAATGCGGAGGTCGGAGATGGGGAGAGGGGTGCAACCTGGGATTTAGGGCAACAGAAGGAACTATGACAGCCACCACCTTTGCACATCCGGGCTTAGGTGTTTATTTCATTCTAAGGCGCCCCTTTCGCTGCCTCTACTAGCCTAGAGGGAGTCACAAACGACTTCCACATCCTGGTAGTACGTGGGTGCGGGGCCTTTCCCTTAGCCAATCCAGCCAGCTAGGTTTCAGCTGCCAGAAAATGTGTTTCCCATCTAACACTTCTCTCCCAAGGACAAAATATAATGTGTCTAAAAATGGTGAACTTCCTGTCTGGGCTTCCCTCACCCACCCCGCTTCCCCACTTAGGAATAAGACTTGACTAACAAAGATTAGTTGGAAACCTATTTTCCTTTGTACATCCCAGATCTCTGCTGGTTCAGTGTCTCTTGTCAGGTGAAATTATTCATGAGGCTCTGAACAGAGTTGATAAGTCTTACTCCTTCCCCCTAGAAATTCCAAGTGGATTTAAATCACTCCCTGGTTGCTGCAGAGGGTCTGTGTTTTATGGGGGTTCTCTAGTGGGCTTTGAAGTATTTGCTTACCAAATCTGTTTCTCAGCTTCCAGCTCCTGAATAAATTACCCGCCCCTTCTCTCTGCTGCCACTCCCCTCCCCCCCCCTCAAATGTGAACAGTGGAGATGTCCTCTGGACAATAGCTTGGAATGTGAGCTCTGGGACATATCGGTCAGTTGCCAGCCCTGGGACACCCATCTGCTACACACTTGACTGAGAGATTTTGATTGTCTAATGGACTAGGCCCTTGGACCTTACTCTGTGCACAGATTTATTCCTTGCTTGCAGGATCACTTAACCAGTGTCCGCATTTACCATCTTGAGCCAGGTTGCCTTGTCAGGAAAATGGCCATGAGAATATGCATTTAGAGAGCAGATCAAAATCCTCGCGTTGAAAACATCTTGGAGCATCTTTGAGGACTGCCACTTGACAGAGGTTAGTGTTAATTGATGTCAGGCTGTTCTTTTGGGAAGACTGTAGACTTCTATTTATTTTGGTGTTTGTATAAGGGCTAGAGAGGGTAAAGGGAAAATGGGCAGCCACGGCCCTTTGGTGAGCCAGAAGGCATTTCGCATTATCAGTCAAGCTACTTTAAAAAGCATTGTCGTCCAGCCTTCCATGTGAGTGGGATGGGGCAAGACTAAGTCATCCATTTCAATGCCTGCTCTTTCTGTCCCCTTGTCCAGCATGTCACTAAAATCACCATTTCCCTCACTCACTCCACGTGTGGAAAAGGTAATTAAAGACTCCCCGAGAGATTCAAGAGCAGCCACTTCTGGGGTTGAGATTTGTCACATTTCTGCGCTTCACCTCACCAGGGGCCTCGGCTGCACCAGGATTCCTTGATTCTCCAGCGGGGCCTTTCCGGGCAAGGACAAGGACCCTGGTACTCTCTTCCTATTTAGTGTTTTACTAAAACAACATCACCATAAACAACAAGTAAAACAAACAGGAAATCAAAATATGCAAAAGCATAGACGTCTGGCGTGTTTACAAAGCACAGATTTCTTACCCTAAAATAATTAAAGCCCGGCAGACTTGGCCAATTCTGCCTCTGGCTGGGCTCACGCCTTCAGATTCCTTGTCGCCCACATCACTGCTGCTGCATTAGAAGAACGGGGTTCCCACCACTCTGCTCCTTGGTCCTCTTCTGTGGGGAAAGGGGGTTTCTGGCTTAGCTGGACTTCTGGCTTTCATGCATCTCCCTACCTGAGAGCCTGAGAAAAGCATTTTCCAGTCCAGGGTCGAGGTTCCTCCCTGTGCCCCTTGGCGGTCCCAGGATTTCCCTGAGTGCCATGCAGGGAAGTTCAGAGCCCTCACCTGTCACTGTCTACTCTCAGGCAGCCACCCCAGGCTTCAGCCCTGGGCCCCACCCTTCCAGAAGCCTTCCTACTTTGTATTCACCCGTCCTCTCCCCCCCTTCCCCCAGCCAGCCAGCACCACTGAAAACCACCTGTTTTGTGTTTTGAAAGCCTGGAAGCACCCCTGTCCTCCACCCTCGCAGACCTCCCACTGAGTTCCAGTTTCCTATCCAAACTCCAGATTTGAGTTCTCAGCTCATTTGAAGAACATAAGAAGAGCTCACGGCACATTCAATTCAAGTCTTTCCTTCCTGGCTGGGCTTGCCAGTGGTCCCCAATTCAGGGGAGGTGTGGTCTTGTCAAGTTCCAAGTCTGGCAGGGGCAATCCTCAGACTTGTCAGAGGTTAGAGTGCCTGCAAAGTCACAGTCATCTCTGCAGGACACCATGTCACCGATTAGTCCCCTCAAATTCAGCAAGAACTGACCCTGCTTTGGCATGTGCTGTACTTTGAAGTCACAACTACCATAAACAGGTTCACACACACACACACACACACACACACACACAAGGGGAACTAAATTGAAGTCTCTGATTGGCAGTTTCTGAATATTCTGGCCATGCTAATTTAATTTGTTCAGCAATTATTTTAGCTTTCTGCCAGCATTTGCTACCAGGTAATCAAGAGCAGTTATCAAAGGTTGGAGAAAAACCTAGAGAAGTTAAAAAATTTTAAATTGACAGAGCTCTCCCCATATAGTAAGCGGAATAATAGCCTCCCCAAAATGTCCACATCCTAAGCCCCAGAACCCGTGTGACTGTTACCTTACATAGCAAACGGGACTTGTCAGATGTGATAGAGTTAAAGATCTTGCGATGGAGACATTGTCCTGAGTTGTCTGGATGGGCCCACTGGAATCACAACGGTAATCATAAGTGAAAGAGGCAGACTAAAGAGTCAGAGTCAGAGGGAGAGCTGAAGATGCTAAAGTGCTGGCTTTGAAGATGGAGGAAGAGGCCAAGAGCCACAGAATGCCGGAAGCCTCTGGAAGATGGAAAAGACAAGGGAACAGATCCTCCACTAAAGCCTCCAGAAGGAGCAGCCCTGCCCACATCTGAATTTTAGTCCAGTGAACCCCATTTCAGACTTCTGACTTCTAGAACTGTAAGATTATAAATCTGCATTATTTCAAGCCACTAAGGTTGTGGTAATTTGTTACAGCAGCATCAGTACTCTCCATTTACTTAGTTGTGTATGTGGCTTGAGAAAAGAATACCTTCTTTTGGATTTAACAGGAACACTCTGGTACAACATGAAGAATGAAACAGCATCCCCATTCACTTTTTTTCCTCCAGTTGTTTCCGTTTGTCATTTATTCACTGCTGACACCAAGCCAAGGCCTGTGCTAGTCACTGATAGACCAGCAAGAACCTTTCGCAGTGAGTACTGTTACGCACTTACTACAGAGAAGGAAACTGAGGCTCAGCATAGGACAGTGACTGCCCCAAGGCCGCACATCAGTGGCCGATAGGTGGAGAGCCTACAGGGATACACACGCTGCTTCAGCTAATTCCTTGCTATTTCCTCCAACCCATCTTTATGCCCCTTCTTGAAGCGGAGTTTACAAGCCCCTGTTTTTCAACCACATCCTGTTCCAGCTACAGGAATACTCTCATACAGTCAGAGAAATGCCTTCTTCTGCCATGGTGGGTGGCAGGCCACAGTCCAAACTGCTGCTTGCAAAGCAAATAAGGTTGAGGTTGAGCCTTTGGCTAGTGGGAAGTCTTAATGTGACAGTGGGTGTTAGGTTCTGTTAATGCACTCGTCTGGGTGTCAGTTTATAGGATAATGTGTGCATTTCATAGCACAGGAGTGGGCAATTCAGGGCTCCTCTATCCTGGCAGGACCTCCGCCCTGTCCCAGCTACTCATAGCCCCACACCCTTGGGAGGAGTAAGGATGGCACCTGGCTGTCGTACCCTTTGCCCAGATTCAGTGATTCTCCATCCTGGCTGCTAATTCAAACCACGTCAGAAACTAGAAAAACCTGTTAACATTGGGCCCCACCCCAGCCAAGTAAAAACCATGTTCAGTATGGCCAGGCCTGGGCTTCAACGTGCAGGTCAGAATCTCCCCGGTGATTCTGGTGTGCAGCCAGGGGCACTGCAGGCCCTCTAACCGGACAGGTTATATCCTTTACCTGAGCTGTGTGGATGCCTCCTGCCGCCACGGTGAGTGCTTGTCTGGGCATGTCAGCTCTGCCAAGTCAGCAAGCACCGGGGCTTCAGAGCACCTCTGTGCCCCTCTCAGAAGAGCAGGTGGAATCTCATTCACAGGACCCTGCATGGCTGAGAAAGCAGAAGGTGACTCTTAGGGTGACCAGCCATCCCACTTTGCCCAGGACTTTAGAGGAGAGGGGTGTTCCTGATATGTGAGATGTTAAGTGCTAAAACCAGGAAAGTCCCTGGCCTTTGAACAGAGAACCAGGAGTCTGAAATCCACGGGAGTAAACTCTTCCTGCTTGGGTGGGAGCAGTCTGACATCAGAGGGGTGTGTCTGTGCTTGTGTGTGAGGGAGCGAGGGAGAGGGTATGTGTACATACGTTAAGTGTGTGCGTGCCTGCGTGTGTGTAAGAGCTTGTGAGAACGTGAGAATTGTACATTTGTGTACAGGAGTGTGTGCATCGTGTGAGGACGGGCATGAGGGCATGTGTGCATGAATGTGGGTGGGTGTGTTTGTGTGAGAGTGTAGGCTTTCTGGGGACAGCAGACCTCACCAGCCCAGAATCGCCCCACTGCAGTGGCGTCTAACATATCCGAGCTTGTGCCAACCGAGCTGGCCCTGAGTACTACCAGAGAGCAGCCCTGAGTGGTTCAGTGAGCCCAGGGGTAGACATTGTACATTTATTTCGCTCTATGACAGTATAATTAGCTTTCCCTCCTGTGAGGAATGAAGGGGCAGCATGCTTTCTGACAGCTGTGGGAGCTGCCTTCCTGCCTGGATAAATCTAGCATCCACCGATATGGTTACACCTGTTTAAACAAGGAACAAAATAGGTATTTATTTGAAGTTCAAGAGGCCATATGAGCCATGGCCTAAACATAGGCCTGGATATAATTATAAAGATACTTAATTCCTTGTTCTGAAAGAATTTTGCAGCCCGCTGTTCCCTCAGAGGCTTGGGCAGTTTCCTTAAACACGTGTACTTCCCAGAATGAGGCCAGGCAGGGGCAGGAATGCCTTGTGGAGGCTGGGGTGCAAGGCTGGGGGGCACAGAGGAGCGATGACCCCCAGACCTGGCCGATCCTTGCTCAGAAGCACCGGGAGGAGGCTTGATAAAGATGCAGGATTCCTGCTCCTCCCCATAGACCAGGCTTGCTTGCGTCTTGGAATGGAGGGCAAGAATCTGCATTTTTATTTTTTATCTTTATTTTTATTGAGTTATAGTCAGTTTACAATGTTGTGTCAATTTCCAGTGTAAAGCACAATTTTTCAGTTATACATGAACATACATGTATTCATTGTCACATTCTTTTTCACTGTGAGCTACCACAAGATCTTGTATATATTTCCCTGTGCTATACAGTAAAAAAGAAAGAAAGAGACAAAT